TTGCGATATAGTCACGAAAAAACGTATAGCGTATGAATAGATACGTATCACGTCAAAAACTATGTGAGAATATTAAAATGAAACAAGTTACCCGGAAATCTTTCCTTGTGTGTCCAGACAGGTAAAGGAATTATTTATTGTCAATATTATGAGAAACACGCGCTGTGCTATGTTAACACGTGAACCTACTTAATGACTTATCCTGTATTTTGAGGAGTTTTTGACATTTCTTTTGAGAAATAAGAAAATGAGAATTAATGAAGAAATCCATGCAGGAAAGTTTTTCCTTCTCTCCTTCCATAGGTGGTGCTATCGAAATGCTTTTCTGCCGAATTTGAGCATCAGAGTCGAGTCAAGGAGGCTCCCTCTGCTGCGAAGTGGCCGGTGGAGGCGAGGGGCGATCGCTCAGAGCGCAGGATGTGTTCCGGGCTGCTGGCTGCGGTTGGCGCTTGTGGCGGCGCGAGGGCGCAAATAGACCGGAACACGGAAGGGCGGCGTTGGTGGAGGTAGTGCTGCTGTGGTGCGATGGTGGCGGCGATGGCGAAGACGGGAGGCGACGGAGGCCGCCGAGGGCGGATGGCGGGGCCAGTGGCGGTGGCGGCGGCGATGGAAGGGGATGTAGTGACGGGGTGGAGGTGGGGATGTGGCGGAGCTGGCAGACTGCGCCGCCGTTCTCCACCGATGGAGCGGGCAGGACATCAGAGGCAGCAGCCAGCAGCCACGAACACATTTACCAACAGAGCTCACAGCCCCTGAATCGAGATGACTTACTCGATCAATGTTTGGGAAAATGCCTCAGTATCTGTTGTTATGTGACGATGAAAATGCCCACCCTAAGGTTAAGAAGACCAGTACATACGGTGGAGGGATGTCTTCGTGCTAATCACACGAGCCATTTATCCCATGGCCGCAAAGCTGAGCCACCGCTAGGGCGCCAAGGCCCGTATGGGGCAGTCGAGCCAACAACAGAACAGGACAGTTCCTTATAAATTGTCAAAAACCTCATCTATCCTTAATGTGTTGTAAATAGAAATGATTCTTCTAAAATATTTCATGACTTTTCTGAAGTGGCTAAGAAATTTTAAGTTTTGATTAAGAGCTCAGAAATACCTAGAAAATTTTAAATACTTTTACAACAAAATTTCATAGAGGATACTGCGGGAGTAATCTTCTTTGCACGTTATAAGCATTCCTTAACATTGTATTGCCATGCCTTATTTGCGGTTGTTGGCCGCCTTAGCGGATCGCTGCAATCTCCACCCCCCCGCGGTGAAAGGGGCTCCCGGCTGCCGCAACGCGAATTCCGATTCGAGACGCTTCCTATTGTTCGACCTTGAGGCAAAGACATAACATTACTCACGCTCTCAGACTCGGCAAGACGACCCCAACAAAATACCTATCGCAATTACGAGATGAGATAACATACGGCATTCCCATTGATGGAACGTTTCCTTTCATCAATGCAAACTTATTCAAATGAAAATATTCCAAATGAGTGTAATTGGAGAACGCACAAAAAGAATGATAAAATAGGGCAAGAGAAACGCCACATCAGTGCACGTAAATGCCAGGGGTTGTGCAAGTATTATAAAATGGGCTACGACCAGTGAACGGAGTAAACTTATTAACCCACACATATACGCCAAATAAATAATGTTAAAGACATTTTTAATACTAAAATTATCAATTATATTTTTATCATTGAAATAATTTACTCATTATCACATAAGTTATCCAAGTTCTCCTTTCTGAACAATAAAAAAGCATCCTTCACTAATTCCTTGTAGAGTAAGATACATGAATACATCTATATATCTGATTGCCACACAAAACATTTATTATCAAGTAGATTTCAGTAATTAAAGAACGATTATTGAGTTAATAGGATTATTGGTATAAAAGTTCTGAGTTAAATACAAAATCATATCTAGAAAACTATTTCCGGCGCATATAGAAAATTTTAAATCAATTTATTTATTACTAATATTACAACGTAAAAATAATACATGTGTATTTTCAGCTTTTAATTTGACACGTACATCAGTACCTCGACCGATGGTTTCCATTCTCGCAGTCGACATAATGTAATACATCGTAATGTGTTGCCATTTCGCAGCTGCGAACCCTTTCAGCGAGCCAGAGGAAAGCACGCGTTGAATGCCGCTTATGCTAGAAACGTCCCAAGTCACATCGCCAGCAGATTGCGGCCATGCGTCAACGGCGTGGGCAGCGGGCGAGAGCCAGTGAGTCAGGCGATGCCGAGTACAAGAACCAGATACCGGCGAAGGGGACGGCTGACTGGGGCCGTGGGGGCGGCAAGAGGGGGACTGCGGCGGTGGTGGTGGTGGTGGTGGTTGGGGTGATAGTTGTGGTGGTGGTGGCGGCGGGGATAATGACAGTGATTGTGATGGTAGTCGAGAAACTTGGGTGGTGGTGGTGGTGGCGGCGGTGGAATATGAATGATCAAGATTCTAACTAAGAACTAAGAAGAAACTAACAATAACTAATACACCATTTAATCCTGGTTTTATATCCATTCTCATTAGTGCAGATAAATGTATGTATCAATAATGTTTCATTATAGCCACAAACGTTTTCGTGATTTATGGAACACCTCACATTTTGAGTTGTGTCACTTGCAGCAAGTGATCGATGTGTCTATGCATGCAGGGCCGACTACCCGTTGATATTTGGTGAGCGCCGAGGCGGCAGGTAGAACCAAGAGGCGGGAGCGCGGGCGAAGAGCTGTGGGACGTGTTTTGAAGGTAGCTTTCGTGCAAAGACCGACAGCTCCTACATTCCGCAGAGCTGAGTTCGCCGCCGCCGCCGCCGCCGCCGCCGCCGCCGCGTCTTCCGTTACATATTTAAGGCTTCTTAAAGCAATACGAAGGCCTTTAAAACCAGTTTGTCCAGATGGCGCAGCTGGACGGCGAAATGTCCAACGGGAGAACGTGAAAAACAACACATGACTGGAATTTAATACGTTCGTAAGGATTGCATGTTACAGACCCTTTAATTAAAATTTAATGATTTGAACACAAATACACATTTGCATTGTATTACAACGAGGATTATTTACGTTGTTTATTTTGAGACTGAATACAGAAAAATGATAAATAAAAAGTAAAGGCAATAAACGGCTTCATTTCTGAAAGCCCGTTAACAAATTATAAGATGGACATGCAAAAATGAAAACAAAAAATAATATAGAATTATCTCTATTTCATACTTGCTTTTATTTCTGTTTAAGTAATGTTAGAACAAACAAGCAGTTTATGTCAATATATTTTATATGCATATTATATCAAATCTGCATGCGCATCTCGTTACATAATTACGGGTTTGTTACATTTTTTTTTTGTAATTCTCATCCAAAGCTTTCCATCCGCTCGCAGCTCCGAGCGGTGGCGACGAAGGCAGATATCACCCAGTAGGAATCATTCAGTAACTTCTGCCACGCGCGGCGTAGTTTAAATTCACCGAATTATTTAAAACATTAACTAAACAAACAGTATCATTACTTAAAAATTTAATTATAGCACAGACCTACACTCCACTTTTTAATTATACATCAAAATTACATTATTTCCAAACATCAGATTTGTACCATCGCCTTTTATTAGTGCAAAGATACTCGCGGCGGCAACAGCCGATCAAGTGAGTTCTCAAACAATCGCCCTTCCGGCCAAGAAATCAGTTGCCTTTTTGGTACTCGCCACGAGCAGACGTTGCCAATGTTGCTGCCAATTCGCTCAATGTATTGCACATAAACTTTAACTAAATAATATGTCTTCTAGCATACAAATAAGGCAACAATGTGTTGTGTCCTTTTGTTCTAAATCTGCCAGTGCTATCCGCGAGTGCAATAATCTATTAAATAATCTGACGGTGAAGCTTATACTATCAATTTTTTGCATACTTATTATAAACTGTGATCAAACGTGAACTTCCTCTGCTCGTGGTTTGTTATCGTTTGCAAACGGTCGCGTATCATTGTGACTGTAATTGTACGAAACAGCAGTTGGAGAATTTAATATTCAGGGCGTCAGCTACTCATACCGTTTCAACAATGCACTGCATAATTGGTAACATGTGTTAATGGAAACAACGCTATCACTGGTGGTATTTGTTGTAACTCCGTATTGTTGCAACGCTAGAGTCTGCAAGCCGTGCTGCTTGCGCAACAACGTCGCCTGGCCATCCACGATGACTACATTGCTCAGCGGCCGTATCGTGGGCGAGAGGTCTCGCCCCGCTCGTAACTGCAGGCAGTAACAACTCTACGTACAATCTTCAGAGAAGTGCACTCCTCCAGTGTGTGTGTGTGTGTGTGTGTGTGTTTTGTTATCATTCAGAAACGCTAACTTTTTATTCCATGTCAAATTTGTTCTGTTCCTATTAATAGTAATCCTTTCATTCTAATTCATTACTAAAAAAACATGCTCACTCATGCACACTTTTATGCAACCTTCAACTAAATTCTGAATGCGAAGAGTTGCATTTGTTTTAATCTTTTGAATATTAATTCAAGTCTTTAATTACATGTTATTTTTCACAACTATTTAATTTATGTTTTCTGATTTCCCCAAAATGGCAGCAACACTCCTGTGCATGATCAAGTTCTCAAGGATACGGCGTAAGTATCAGCCTACAATAGGTACTGTGGTCTTCCGTGTTGCTACCAAACAAGGTAAGAGTGAAAGGAGGCATAGCTATCGCCTACAGTTCACTGACAAACATTACAGCCACTCCCGCCATGCTATATCAACGTTGAACAAAGCTGGAGTTATTGTGTAATATTACTTCAATCTAAATGAGTTAATAAATTGTACGTCATGGTTAGCATCAAAGTTGAATCTATTGAGAGACGTCAATTACATTTTGTACGTTTTACTGTTGTACTTCAGCCTTGTCTTTCAAGTCAATCTTCTAATTTGAGACAGCTTTTTCAGAATGGATATTGCAACTGAGTAACAGTCTGAGTAGAAACTCAAACTTACCCATTTTTCCTGGAACGATGTCGAATTGGGAAGGCACGTCGTGCACAAACACTGGCCGGTTACATAGCTCCTGCAATCAGAAGATAATAATAGTTAAATATGATAGAACAATCTTATTAATAATAATAATAATAATAATAATAATAATAATCCAATAATTAAATACGAAAGTATAGGTCCCCCGCATCTTGCCATATCGCACTCTCATTTTCTATCCATACAAATATTCGCATTTGGAGATTCAAACCACTAAATGTTCTTGCCTACGTTTTCCAAACATGACTGTAATAGCAACCAAACAACATTATTTGAGCTCCCATCAGAAGAAAAAAAATCGCCGTTTCCCGGCGTACCATTACACAACTTTCTCTTCTTACGAAGTACTTTGTAAGGCTAGAAAGTAAAAATACAGAAATACCTAAACGCTGTTCTAATCATATCAACTACTAATTGGAGATGCGACTGTAAATATCGTAATTTCTTTTATTTTTGAGATATTATTATATATTTCAGCTTATTAAAAAAAGTAACTTCAGTAGATTGTTTGATGCAGGAAGCACCTAATACACGCGCAACATTTTGAGCATTCATTTTCCCTTTTTGTTGAGCTACCGTATAACGAGGCAACCAAGAAGAATGAACGGAACTTATGACCTTGAGAAATCAGAAAGCATCTCGGAGCGTCCGCGAAATGAGATTGTATGCTCTTCCGGCCTAGCGCCGACGGTGCCTTAAGAAGCCCAAGCGCCGATAGGGGGACCAGGTGGAGGACGACCAGTGGAAAAGGTGAGTTGGGGTGGGAAGAAGAGGAATGGAGGAAGAGGAAATCGGTGAGGAAGTGGATCAATTGGAGAAGCAGTGGAACAGTAGGAGGGGAGAAGTGGAGGAGGAGGAAGAGAAGATGCTTGCGAGGCGCAGGGCACGCCGGTCGCTGCGTGGGGTGGGCCCGTTGACGCAAGCGCTGGAGCAACCTCCGGCCCACGCCGGACGCAAAGCAGCAACGGGGCAGGGCGGGGAGAGGAAGGTCGGTTCAAGAGGATCTTGCCACTCAGAGGCCGTTAGGGAAAACACGAGCGCGGAGTATGTGAGGTGAGAGTGATGGAAAAGATCGAAATCCTGCACTCATTTTTAATGGTACTTATGTTTTAAGTTATAGTGGTGGAAGGGTCAGTGCATTTACATGTTACTAGTGTACCTGTAATGATTAACATTCTTTTCAACTTAAATACTAATTCATATTAAAATGCCTAAAGATATTTTTGTAAAGTTCATGATGTTGGATCTATCCGTCCATTAACGAAATATAAACAAAAAGGACAATGGAAAAAGTCGAAGAGTCGAGGGTACAAGCTACGCAAATGGAACTACATGCAATCAAAAGGATGTAGAAAATCACAGGAGGTAGGTTTGGTGAAATACAAAGAAAGCGTGGTTAAGTGCAGCACGCAATGCACGAAGAGTCAAAGGGTAGTGAAAGAAAAACATTGAAGACGTAAGGGGCCGAAGGCAAGAAGGATCATTAACGGTAACAGGAGATACGACAACCGAACAGAAAGTGGATTTTATGACAGTATTAAATTTTATGACTGTGTATATATGTAGAGTACACATATTTTTGTTGATTCGAAAAAGGAATTGAGATAAGAAATGCCATGAATGACTATGATCGGAATAGAATGCAAAGGACAAAGAAAGACATCGCAGCTTCACTCATTCTAAACATCATTTCAACACAATGACGATGTGCAAAATGCCAGCAAGTTGAATAAAGACTGACGGCGCAAGATCCCTCCACTGAGAACCTCGTGTGTGAATACGAAACGACAGAACGCGCAGACCCGTAGACGAAGCAACGCACAGAACATGTGGAGAGAGTGAGAAGCCTTGGCGGTGCAATGCGCCTGTGTTTTCGAAGCGAGGATCTCCTCTGCTTATCTGCACTCGTCTGAGTGCGCCCTCCTCCTCGACCGCGCCTGGGCGGTTGCTCAAAGAGACGGCCGCGCCGGGGGGTGAGACTTTCCTGGCCTGCGCCGCCGCCGACAAAGAGGTGGAGTTAGAAACGAGACACGAAACCCGCCTTATTGTATTACGCATTATAAGATCTTCACTGAGAGATCAAGATGCTGTTCGTGCACATCCGACCTACAGCTAGCGGACGTTGAATTGTGTACAGAGTGCCATCAGAGATTGCAGACAGCAAGGCGTCTCTATAAAATGTTTAGAAACCTGTATGGTATCATAAGGAGGAGAAAGGAAAGATCGTGCGCGGCCCATGGCTTGTTTGTTAGTATACCGCTCCGTTTAGCCAGGTGTTGATCGAAGAAACTTTGAGAACCACCAGATCAGAGCAGCCGGCCGCTAGAATTCTCGTCCAGACAGCATCTGAATTCAACCTAGCTGTGCAGCTAGTGTCGAAAGTCCTGCCGCCGTCGGAAGTGGAACCCTAGAGCCTCCCGTTCAGAGGCATTGCAGTGACGTCAGTTGGTGCCCTGAGCCACCTAAGCCCGCTGGAGGGGATGCCCCCAACACCGCATACCCGCATGGATTGCCTCGAACCCAAGGCGGAGCGTCGGGTGGAGAGCAAAAGCGGCGCGTGCAGGCGGTGGGCGGGGCGATCACTCAACCCGCGCGCGCATATGGCGCCTGCGCGCAGCGTCACGCGAGCGCCCCCGCCGACGCATCACGCCGCCCCGGTTCCACTCTCACACAAATGGGGCGAGCGCAGCGGCCGCCGGCGGACGCGTGGGCGGGGCCTTGTTTGTGAGAACGCGGGGTAAATACGTTGCAACATGCTTTAAGCGCCTTTTGGAGGGACAGGCAAGGAGAGACAGCATGCGGGAAGAATACGCCAGCGGCGGCGGCAGGAGACAACGCGAGGACCGTGGGGCCTCTAGCCACCGCCACCAGGACACGAAGCAGTTATCAGCCACGGACGATAGGAGTCGGCACACGGGAGAACTTTGTACACTACACAGTGTACCGTGATTAAGTACGTGTGATAAGGTTTATTGTGTTGTATACAAGCTTAAACGACCATGAGTGTTTTGATAAGTAACGAAAAAAAGTCAGAATAAGAAACAAATTACAGCAATGATGGAAAAAAAATATCAGGTGTAGGAGAATCTTCAGTTGCGGGACAAAGCGCCGGCTACTACAAGTTATGTTAGTTTATTTAAGTACTCCCCACTTTATAACCGCGCAAGCCAGACAGATGCGGCGTATTTGTTCCATTGCCAATAATGACCACCTCGTTAGAGCCATTGGTGGAGTAAAATAAAAACAGCCTTTTAAAGGCCAAAAGTACGTGCCGACTCAGCACTTCAGCAGACGGAAGGGTCGCGGGTTAGAATTACGCTGCGGAAACGGGTACCTATTTGTCGTTTGTACTTGAGTAGTGTGCGTGTATGGTCGAGATTTACCTGGCATTCTGACCTCAGATCCGAAGAGCCCGCCGGTGTGTTAGTGTCAAGTGTATAGTTCAAGCTTCACCGCTTTGGAATGTAAAGGGGAAGGAGCTGGAGAGGTCAAGCAATAAAAAATACTAACTAATTTTTGAAACACTTTAACGTCTTTTTAAGTCACAGCGCTTTCTAATTTGGAAAGAATTAACATGCAAGATTTGAGGTGCTAAGGTTCTAATTTCCAAAGACTGAACATCCAAAAAGAAATTTGACAGGTGAAATCCCGTTTCTATGAAATTTAATCAGGAAAATTATATGAAATATTAGAGATGGGAACAGGGAAGAATGAGGGACGATTCCAAAAGAAGTTTCTCAACCCATAAAGTCTGTTCTTTTTCCTCTTAATTTCTTCTAATCTATTTAATTCCGGCATTGCAATAAAATTATGAGAAACCCGTAGCGCTTCAAGAGTACGAAATATCTCACAAGATTTTGTGTTGACTCAAGATCTCTGGGAAAATGTTACGATAGTTTTACTTCACTCCCACTTCTTGCGGCTGTTTTTTTTTTCTTTTTTCGCCACTTAAATGACGCGTGATCCAGTGCAGGGAGTAATTCATATGCGGAAACAGCATTGAATTTCGGATTAAGGTATTTCCATGCTTGTGATAGATTAAGTAAGAAACTTTCATTCTTTCTCTCAATGATTTCTCCTGCAACAGTTAAGGAGAAACAATTGACCCCTAACTGAGAGACATTATTACAAACGGTGTAAAACGAACAAACCGAAAAACATCATTCATGTGCATCATCATTTCGACAACGCAAAAGAAAAATGAGAAACTAAAAAATCGTCAATTGCTTTAGCTGAGTGAAGAATGTTATCAAAACAGAAGGTACACAGAGTAAAACACTATTTTCGGCCACGAAACAAACGGGTTGATTGATTGGTGTCATTAGTTCTGAAAGTGTATCAGATCAGAGCAGCCGGGCGCTATAATTCTCCTGCAGACAGCGACTGAATTCGACCTAGCACTCTAGCTATTCTCGAAAATGCTGCCACCGTCGGGAATCGAGCTCTAGGACCTCCCGACGAAAGGCACTGCAGTCACATGAATTGAAACACTGACCCACCTAAGCCGGTGCGAAATAAAAAGATCTGCTCAGGAAAAAACATTCTCCTGCAAAATGAGATGCTTCAACAGCTGGAGAGGGGCAATGGGGTGGGTAGGGGTGGCCGGGGAGCGCCTCCAGACGGCGCGGCCATCGCGTGGGGCACGCCCCCCTCCTGCCCTGCGCAAGCGCTCGCGCGAGCTGTCGTGGCGCAACGGCCGCTCCGGAGAGAGAAGCGACCTGCCAGGGCTGAGGTTCAAATTGGCTGAGCTCTCTGGGCGGAAAGAAATTATAGTCGTTGAGCTGTCAGTGTCGCAAATTGAACCGCTCTTAATTCTGATTGCGCGGTATTGCGTCGTGTTATCACGAGTCAGAAGAGTTGGCTCCCTATTACAACATAACGAAGCCTAGCTTCCTAAACCTTTGAAAATCAGTGAATACTTAGATGTATACTTCAAATGTGAATATTAGAGAATGAAAATAAGAGCAGTAAATTACAATTTTAGAACACCAAACATTAAACTAGTGAACATTAAAACAACTGCGTTACTTGCAA